GTACGGAGTAGTGGCCATTAGTTGGGATGAGTACGGAGTAGTGGCCATTGGTTGGGATGAGTACGGATTAGTGGCCATTGGTTGAGTTGAGTACGGAGTAGTGGCCATGGTTGGGATGAGTACGGAGTAGTGGCCATTGGCTGGGATGAGTACGGAGTAGTGGCCATTGGTTGGGATGAGTACGAAGTAGTGGCCATTGGTTGGGATGAGTACGGAGTAGTGGCCATTGGTTGGGATGAGTACGGAGTAGTGGCCATTGGTTGGGATGAGTACGAAGTAGTGGCCATTGGTTGGGATGAGTACGGAGTAGTGGCCATTGGTTGGGATGAGTACGGAGTAGTGGCCATTGGTTGGGATGAGTACGGAGTAGTAACCATTGGTTGGGATGAGTATGGAGTAGTGGCCATTGGTTAGGGTGAGTATGGAGTAGTGGCCATTGGTTGGGATGAGTACGGAGTAGTGGCCATTGGTTGGGATGAGTATGAAATAGTGGCCATTGGTTGGGATGAGTACGGAGTAGTGGCCATTGGTTGGGATGAGTACGGAGTATTGGGCATTGGTTGGGATGAGTACGGAGTAGTGGCCATTTGTTGGGATGAGTAGGGAGTAGTGGCCATTGGTGGGATGAGTATGGAGTAGTGGCCATTGGTTGGGATGAGTACGGAGTAGTGGCCATTGGTTTTAGCTGTTAGTAGATCATTAGTGAGATTTAGTAGGGCAGTTTCAGTGCAGTGTAGTGAGCGAAAGCCAGACTATAAAGGGTGAAGGTTATTGTCGGTGAGGTGGGAGCTCAGACGATTGTAGACTAAGTGTTCTAGGAGTTTAGAGGTAAATGGCAGCAGGGAGATGGGTCTTAAGTTGTTCAGGTTGGTGGGATCCAGGGAGGGCTTGTTAAGTATGGGAGTGATGTGCGCATGCTTTAGAGGGGAGGGGAAGGCACCGTTAGAGAGGGAGAGATTGAAGATGTGAGTGAGGGAGCATAGGATGGAAGAAAAGGGTGACCGTAGTAGTTGTGAGGGGACAGGATCTAGGGGGCAGGTAGAGAGACGGGCTTCTGAGAAAACCTTAGTGACCTCTTCGGTAGTGGCGAGGTCAAAAGAGAAAAGTGTTGAGGGAGGTTTAGTATGAGGTATGCTAAGTGGGATGGATGTCTGTGCGGTGGAGATGCCCCTACGAATTGCGTCAATCTTGTTTTTGAAATGATTTGCAATCTCGTGAGCAGTGAGTGAGGTACTGGGTGGAGGTGGAGGTACTAAGCGGAGGTGGAGGTGCTGGGTGGAGGTGGAGAAAATAGAGAGTTAAAAGTAGAGAAGAGACGATGAGGACTGGATGACAAGCTATTGATGAGAGGGACAAAGTAGGCTTCTTTGGCAGCATGGAGAGAGGAATTGTATGTGAAGAAAGCAGATTTATATTGGGTGAATGCTTGTTGGGATTTGGTTTTACACCACAATCACTCCAGCACACGACTATGTCTCCTAAGATGTCCGGTGTGGTCAGTGTGGTGGTTTATGTAATAATTTATTCTAAATATGTAGGGCAGTGTCCTCTCCCTTAAACAAAATATCACAGTGCCTCCAGCCGTTCAAATACGGCAAATATTTAATGAACCAATAATTTGGACACCTTAATAATTTGATCACCACTTAATAATATACCTTGAATTCTTTTACCAGTATGATTTCGTACCATAAACACAAAAATTGCCTTTTTGATACATAAATACATTTATTTATGTACAAAATTTATGTATATATATTATTACAAACGCAAAATACTGGTGATGAATATATACTCGTACACACAATCAAAAATATAATATTCTAATTTCTTTGTTATTAAACAATATGTGATTATCAATTTAAAAGAAAGATAACATTTTTAGGATTAGTGTAACCTTATAGTGCTTCAGATATTATTTCTTATTTTTCGTGGCCATAGAAAAATAAGAAAATCTCTCTAATAAATTGCACCACAACAACAATACAAATGAATTAATATGCAATATATATAATCTAATACCAATTTCAAACAGTATAGTGATAATTATATATATAACCTTAATATATTCCTAACCACAAAATACAATGTTATAAGTCTTTAGAAAATTGGAAATATCAAAGAAAATTACAATATTCTAACACAGTCTCACCACTCCCAAAATTTAACTGAGCATCAGCGTCTCTGGTGGAGCTCTCTTCCTTTAAATTGGCAGCTGGAAGTTCTCAGCAAAATGGCCACAGGTAGCAAGTGAGTATAGTGCAGTATATAGTGGTAGGAGTAGTGAAGAAATAGTTGGAAGATTAAGTTCAGAAGTGATCAAGAAGTAGTAGCAGTCTTTCAGAAGAAGTGAAGTGATTATTAGAAGTCTTGAAGTCTTAAGGTCTTGAAGTCTTGAAGTGATCAGGTGAGCAAGTGAGTTCATCAGTTTGTGAGTTTTTGAGTTTAGGTGTTTGGCATTTTTATATCATCCAATTCCATTGTTCCGAAAAGACCTCCCAACAGACTTGATGATTGCATGGTTGAGAAGTTGCGTATTTAGAGATATTCCTCACCTGTCCACTGGGGACAGTCCGGTATCACAAATGAATTGGTGGTCTTAATGATGACCCATCCATTGATAGAAACAAAATGTCTTTATGTATCAAATATATGTCCTATTCAAGTATAGTTAATTTCACCACTAACTCTTGGATAAGGACCATAGAAAGATGTAAATACATTTGGTTTCTCATTTTCCTGATATTTAAACTGTTTTGGAATAGCTGATTTCTTTTGGAAATATACAATTTACCCCAATTCACAAATCATCTTCTTCTTCATCACTTCAAACTTAGTTGAGTGGTATGCAATACCCAACTTTGTTGAATATATTTTGGTGTGTGGAAATACCCTTTATAAGATTTCCATTGATATAAACCACATTTTTCTTTGTATCTGAAATGACCCAGGTTTCACCTTCTTCTGCATACACAGTTCAAGGCGATGTGATGGAAAGAATGTCTAGTTGCTTTCACTATTTTTTGAGAATTAGGGTAAATAGAAGAGACCGGAGTTAAACCTTCCTATTCAATAGCTATTGTGACAACTCAAGAAGTTTGTTTGTTCATCACACTTTCCGAGGTTTTGTGAGAGCTTTCAGACAATGGGTTTCCATCTCATCATTGTCATTTTGGTTCCGTGTGTTGGCTCACCTGTAGAAATTCAAATAGTGATATCTATCTCATCCCCTCTTGAATCACCTCTTTCAATGTCCAGTCTGTGTGGTAACCTCTTGAAATATCTAGGAAAATTTCACTCCCAGTCAACTGGGATCCTAATTTGAAATAATATAATCATTTTTAATAAACAGTTCCAAAAGTCATTACATCAGTCTGCCACGGTTGTAACGGTCGGGGCCTGATGCTTCGTGATGTTAGAGGAGCAAGCTAGTCTAATGTGGATGAAAGTGAACGGTTATAGACAGCAGTGGCCAGGTCAGGGCAGGACAGGGGAGAGATTGTGTCATAGAGGAGGTCAGTTTGCAGAGTGGAAAGGAGCAGGATTCAAGTTGTGAAGGTTTCTGCAGGTAATTGTTTGCTGCTTGGAGGGATAGGTGTTTGAAGACGAGGAGACTGTCATGGTGATGAGACTGTGATCAGAGAGAGGAAAGGGGGTGTTTGTGAGGTTGTAGGTAGTGCAACGATGGGAGAAAACAAGGTCTAATGTATTCCCATCAGAGTGAGTGGAGGAATGTATACATTGTGCTAATAGTTGTTACTGAGAGACAGAAATTGTTCATTGCTCCAGGAACCCCTAGAACCCTTTGGAGGAACCCCTAGAACCCTTTGGAGGAACCCTTGGGGCAGCACAGTGGCTTAGTGGTTAGCACTTCCGCCTGGCAGTACTAGGGTCGTTGGTTCGAATCCCAGCCACGGCACCACCCACCTGGAGCTTGCATGTTCTCTCTGTGCCTGTGTGGGTTTCCTCTGGGTACTCTGGTTTCCTCCAACACTCCAAAAACATGCTGGTAGGTTAATTGGATCCTGTCTAAATTGGCCCTAATATGTGTATGTATGAATGTAAGTTAGGGACCTTAGATTGTACACCCCTTGAGGGTTAGGGACTGATGTGAATGTACAATATATATGTGTAAAGCGCTTCGTAAATTGACGGCGCTATATAAGTACCTGAAATAAATAAATACAGCCCATACACACCCAGCACAAGGCTGGGGTCACACTACCAGATGGTTCTTGGGGCTGCAGTTCCTCTGAGCTCCACAAGGTGGGGATCTCACTTGTACCCAGACAGGAAGTCTCTATGGAAGATAGGAAGTGATGTCAGGGACAGACAGGACGTGACCTCAGGTATAAATGGGAAGTTTTGGGTGAGTGGTGAGTTGGGAGGAGGTAGAGAGGAGACTTTGCTGGAAGAGGAGGATCTGATTTTATATTTACACTCAGTAAAAGCCAGAGTTTTCCTCCTGTGAGGTCTGGAGATCATATGACATCACATTGCCTCCACCTCCCTCCCTGATAGAAGAGAGAAAGAAGAAGATTCTAGAAGTCACCAGAGAGATCACTGAGCTGCTGACAGGAGAGGTGAGCGGTGCCGGGAATTCTGGGACATTCTCCAGTAACAGACAAGGGATGTGTTTGGATGGTGACTGTATCATTGTGTGTGTCAGGTTCCTATAAGGTGTCAGGGTGTCACTGTCTATTTCTCCATGGAGGAGTGGGGGAGTATATAGAAGGACACAAGGACCTCTACAAGGACGTCATGATGGACAATCAGCCGCCCCTCACATCACCGGGTAAGAGGAGACTTTATTGGAAAGGAGAGAGCAGTACGGAGGATCCACCTAGATCCCCCATCATCTGATAAACACATAGAAACAATGGATTCAGTCAGTGTTTGTGTTTCCTACAGATGTATCCAGTCATGGGAACCCACCAGAGAGATGTCCCCGTCCTCTGTATTCCTGGGATTCCACACAGGAAGGTCACACCATCTCTCACCAACATCAGGTTGGTGGATTCAATCATGGGAACCCACCAGAGAGATGTCCCCGTCCTCTGTATTCCTGGGATTCCACACAGGAAGGTCACACCATCCCTCACCATCATCAGGTAAGTGGATCCAGTCATGGGAACCCACCAGAGAGATGTCCCCACCCTCTGTATTCCTGGGATTTCACACAGGAAGGTCACACCATCCCTCACCATCATCAGGTAGATGAGGAACAATCACTGATAGTATCATTAGGATCTGTACATTATCTGCATTGTTACCATTGATGTCTTTTTATTATATATTCAGAGTGGAAACCTGAGAGATTCTACAGTTGAGGTTAAAGAAGAGATAAAAGAGGAGGATGAGAATGGTGTGATGGAGGAGTCAGAGCTTCTAAAGGAACACAAAAATCTGTACCAGGACACCATGGAGGAGTCATCCAGCTACAGGAACCCACCAGAGAGAAGTCCCCATCCTCTGTATTGCCGGGATTCCACACAGGAAGGTCACATCATCCCTCACCATCATCAGGTAGATGATTGACAATTATTGGTAGTTGTGATTTATACACAGCATGTTTGTTACAATGAATGTTTTATTATATCTTTCAGAGTGGAATCCTCGGGGATGATAATATTGATGTTAAAGAAGAGTATAAAGAGGAGGATGAGGAGTATGGAGAGATGGAGGAGTTTTCAGAAGGACACAAGGATATGATGAAGCCACCTAATACCAGGAACCCACCAGAGAGATTTCCCTGCCCTCTGTATTCCCGGGATTCCACACAGGAAGGTCACACCATCCCTCACCATCATCAGGTAGATGGTTCCAGTCATGGGAACCCACCAGTGAGATGTCAGAGCTTCCCAAACATCTGTACCAGGAAACCATGGTGGAGTCATCCAGCTATGGAAACCCACCAGAGATATGTCACACCAATGACCATTATTGGTAGTTCTGATTCATAAACAGCATGTTTGTTACAATGAATGTTTTGTTATATCTTTCAGAGTGGAATCCTCGAGGATGATAATATTGATGTTAAAGAAGAGTATAAAGAGGAGTATGGAGTGATGGAGGAGTTTTCAGAAGGACACAAGGATATGATGGAGCCACCTAATACCAGGAACCCACCAGAGAGATGTCCCCATCCTCTGTATTCTCGGGATTCCACACAGGAAGGTCACACCATCCCTCACCATCATCAGGTAGATGAGGAACAATCACTGATAGTATCATTAGGATCTGTACATTATCTGCATTGTTACCATTGATGTCATTTTTTATTATATTTTCAGAGTGGAAACCTGAGAGAGTCTACAGTTGAGGTTAAAGAAGAGATAAAAGAGGAGGATGATGAGAATGGGGAGATGGAGAAGTCAGAGCTTCCCAAAGATCTGTACCAGGACACCATGCTGGAGTCATCCAGCTATGGAAACCCACCAGAGAAATGTCCCTGTCCTCTGTATTCCTGGGATTCCACACAGGAAGGTCACACCATCCCTCACCATCAGGTAGATGAGGAAACAATCACTGATAGTATCATTAGGATCTGTACATTATCTGCATTGTTACCATTGATGTCATTTTTATTATATTTTCAGAGTGGAAACCTGAGAGATTCTACAGTTAAGGTTAAAGAAGAGATAAAAGGGGAGGATGATGAGGATGGGGTGATTGAGAAGTCAGAGCTTCCCAAAGATCTGTACCAGGACACCATGGTGGAGTCATCCAGCTATGGAAACCCACCAGAGATTTGTCTCACCATCCCTCACCATCATCAGGTAGGTGGGACAGAGCTTCTAGAACATGAAAATGACTCAACACTCTGACATGCGGAAGTGATGTATAGATGCCGAAGAATGTTATTTTCTCTCCTTCTCTTGATGTAGAGTGGAGATCCAATCGATATAGAATTTGAGGTGAAATCAGAAGAAGAAGAGGCGTATGTGAGGGATGATCAGCAGTCTATGGAGGAGGATGGAATAACAGGGACATTTATAGAGGAGGACACTCCTACAGAGATCAGCACAGGTGGGTCATGAACACTAAATCCATTCCTCCACCCATACTGCTGGCACAAAATTGTTTCATTATTTTTTTTACAGAAGCTAAAGTAGTGTCGTCATACTCGATGTAAAATAATGTTCTTGTAATCCATTGAGGAACACAGGAACCCTTAAATCTTTGGGTTATATTGCCCCATCCCCCTACAGGAAGTTTCATCATTAGCAATTAAAAAAGCCTACAGGCCAGCCCAGGATGACCACTACCAGCATGCCTCAGTTTTGTAGCAAAGCAATACCCAAAGTATAATCCTAAACACAGAGGGGAGGGACCCGTGTCCCCCAATAGACTTCAAGAAAAGGATTTTAACGGGTGTACAAAAATCTTGTTTTCATACTCGCCTCTTGAGGGACGCAGGAAGTTTTGACCTTCAGGAAGTCCAATAGCAGTGCAGCCGAGGGATGAGAAACGCAGCAAACGAATGCTAGCAGGGCCAAGAAAGAGGCAAGATGGAACTGAAAACTGCCTGCAGCTCAAAGAGCGGCCTTAATAAACCTCTACTTGTATCTGGCTTTGGCTGAGGCTACAACATCCACCTGGTAGAACTTGGAGAACATGGGAGCAGAAATCCAACCTTGTAAATCTTGGAAATAGCTTCTCGATGCCATAAAGTCCAAGAAGCGCTTCTAGATCCAGCAGAGTGCGCCTGGACAGTTAAAGATGGAACCCAATCCTTGAGTATATAGGCTTGGATGATGGTCTGCCTGAGACAACTAAAGATGGTGGAACTGGAGACCCGGCGTGCAGAGTTTTCCTGAAAGAAGCAGTGGCCGAGATTCAGACACTCACAGCTCAAACCAAAATCAGACGAGGGTCAATTTGTTTATGAACTGGTGCTGGAGAGATGGACAGAAGAACAATATCCCGGTTGAGGGGAAAGGCAGAAACTACTTCAGGCATGAAGGAATTCCTGGGCTTCAGCACCATAGGTTCCTTGCAAGATGAAGCCAGCAGTTCTGACACCCCCCCCCCCCCCCAGCAGAGGCGATGGCCTACAACGGAAAGCACCTTGTAGATGAGAATAGGGAGAGGAATGTATCTAGTGGGTTCAAATGATAGATTCTCAAGTGCCAAGTTCAGATCCCAAAAAATCACAGAGAAACGGGGGGGTGGGAGCTACGTGGAAGACCCTCTGTATGAATGTCTTAATCAGCGAGTGAGAGGCCAACGGGCAAAGAAACAGAGAATAAAGGGCAGAACCTTGACCCCTGATAGTGTTCAGTCAGACGCTGGTCCGGACCCCAGACCAAGCTTTAGAAAAGTGAGAATCCATCCTATGGAGAAACTCCTGGCATTGTAGGGATCTGATGTCCCCATCCCTCAGAATCTGGGTTTAACAGCCAGATTTGGGAGAAGATCGAGACCTGCCAGGAAGAACAGAGCTACAAAATGGACTTCTAACTGCTTCCCAGTTTGGACCTTACAAGTGCATCCTCTTGCTGGAATGGTAAGTGTCCTGGTAAGGATGGACTCTGCCAGATCCTACAAAACCTTCGCTGAACAGATCCAAGGCTCATAAGTATCACCCGACAGATTGAGGACTCCGAGCATGGAACAGATTCTAACTCTAGAGGATACCATGATTCCAGGTTGGGGACCTCAGAGCTGTCAGAAGACTTGTTTCAAGCAAGGGAGGGCTGAGGGCACCTGGTACAGCAAGATGGTTCCCTATGTCAACATTTAGACATGGCTGAGGCAATGTATAGGCTCAGGGCAAAAGACAAGGTGAACCCAGACATGACCAGAGGTCATCAAAGTCACGGTAGGTGGGCAGCAGGAACAGATCGAGATCCACATGACTCTTTTCAAGCAGGAGCAGCAGCTTTCTCCGTGCTGTATGGCAGAGAAGAGACCATGGGCACATATTACTCTAGCGGATGATATCAGCACTTAGTCCCTCAGAATTACTCCTTCTATGGCAAAACCAGTGAGAACGAGGTGCCCAGCAATCTAAATAGTTCAGGTAACTCCCACCAGACCCACTGACCGAGCCTTCAGAGAAAGGGCAAAGGCTAAGGCAACGCCAAGGGCTAGAAACCTGGAAAGCAATCCGCAGAGAATCTACATAGAACCCAATGCTTGAAGATGATTTCCAGGCCAGGGTGGCCTGTAAGCGGTACTCCAAAGGCCAGGCTGAGGATGACCATGCAGGAAACTACAAATCTAGAAATGAGAAGTCTCCAATGAGAGAAGATAAGAGGTGCAGAGCTTTATATAGGACACTAGTAGAAGACCTGAGGCATGCTGGTAGTGGGAGGAGTTATCCTAGGATGGCCTACAGATTCTTTGCTTGCCAGTGTTCAATTCTCCTGTAGGCGGCTGTATAACCCTTAGGTGAAAGACTTTCTGTATCTCTCAGAGAAATGAAAATATATATTCCACCTTTACTAGTTTCTTCCATTTCCTTAACCGCCTCCCGCCCGCCATATAGTCCAATGACGGGCGCAAGGCGGTTCTCTCATTCTCCCATTCTAACCGCGCATGCGTGGCTCCAGGAGCGTGCAGCGTGGCAATTAGTGGTGCGCTGTATCCCTCGGCCACAGCGGATCACCGATCCACGGAAAGAGCCGAAGATGTTGGCTCAGTCATGTTATCAGCTGTGTCCAATCACAGCGATCGCGTGTAAACGGAAATGTCGGTTATCGACATTTCTCTCCTCTCGAGCTGTCACGCTGACATTGGAGAGGAGAGCCGATAATCGGCATTCCTAAGAGGGGACATCTACACTGATCATCAGGGCACTGATGATCAGTGTAGCTCCAGCAGTACCAAAATTGAGAAGAGAGAGAAGTGCGCCAGGAGGACGTCATCTGTGCTGCACCTCACAGGTGGATGGCTGCAGTGCCAAGGTATTACAAGGCTGGCACTCTAGGCGGGTCCCACAGGAGGAAGCGAGGACGGCAAGCGCAGTAACTGGGAGTCGCGGCGCAGAGAGGAACCGAGATCCAGGGGGGCGCTGCTGATCTCTCACATCAGCGTAAGTAATGGAGCCAGCTTGAGGCGCATCCAAGATGGCCGCCAAGCGGAAGTGACGTCAAAACGTTGCTGGGAATCGTCCAAGGGGGCGGTGGTGCGTTTCAAGGCAACCTGCCTTTTCTTTAGACCTGATTGGCCACTGGAGTGAGCCAATAAATAAGGGAAGGAGGAAGGGGGTGGGACAACTGATTATTACAGTTGCCAATTATAAGGGCATCAGCAAGCATCAACTGTCCCACCACCATACCCTGTTCCAGCACAGGTCCTGTACCATCCACCAGTGCTCTCAGTGCCCATCTAAGCTGCCTTTCAGTGTCACCCGTCAGTGCCACCCATCAATGCCAGTCAGTGCCAGTCAGTGCTGCCTATCAGTTCCGCCTATCAATACCCGTCAGTGCTGCTTAACAGTGCCAGTCAGTGCCGCCTATCAGTGCCCATCAGTGATGCCTGTCAATGCCCATCACTGCAGTCTCATTAGCGCACATCCGTGAAGAAGAAAAATCACTTATTTACAAAATTTTATAACAAAAACTAAGAAACATTTTTTTCTAAATTTTCAGTGGTTTTTGGTTTAAGAAAATATAAAAAACCCCGAGGTGCTTACATATCACCAAAAGAAAGCTCTGTCTATCACAAAAAATGATAAAAATATCATATGGGTACATTGTTGCATGACTGCGCAATTGTCATTTAAAGTGCGACAGCGCTAAAAGCTGGAAATTGGCCTGGGCAGGAAGGGGGTAGAAGAAAGTGCCCAGTGGGCAGGAAGGGGGTGACAGTGTCCGGTAGGCAGGAAGGGGGTGACCGTAGGCAGGAAGGGGGTGACCGTGCCCGGTGGGCAGGAAGGGGGTAGAAGTGCCCGGTGGGCAGGAAGGGGGTAGAAGTGCCCGGTAACGAGGAAGGGGGGTGACAGTGCCCTGTGGGCAGGAAGGGGGTAGAAGTGCCCGGTAGGCAGGAAGGGGGTGGAAGTGCCCTGTAAGCAGGAAGGGGGTGGAAGTGCCCTGTAGCAGGAAGGGGGGGTAGAAGTGCCCGGTAGGCAGGAAGGGGGTAGAAGTGCCCGGTAGGCAGGAAGGGGTAGATTGTGCCCTGTGGGCAGGAAAAGGGTAGAAGTGCCCGGTGGGCAGGAAGGGGGTAGAAGTGCCCCCTGTAGTGCCCAGGCAGGATGGGGGTAGAAGTGCCCGGTAGGCAGGAAGGGGGTGATTGTGCCCTGTAGGCAGGAAGGGGGTAGGAGTGCCCTGTAGGCAGGATGGGGGTGACAGTGCCCTGGTGGACAGGAAAGGGGGTAGAAGTGCCCGGGGGCAGGAAGGGGGTAGGAAGTGCCCGGTGGGCAGGAGGGGGTAGAAGTGCCCGGCAGGGAGGAAGGGGGTAGACAGTGTACCCTGTGGGCAGGAAGGGGGTAGAAGTATCCGGTAGGCAGGGAGGGGGGGTGACAGTGTCCGGTAGGCAGGGAAGGGGGTAGAAGTGCCCTGTAGGCAGGGAGGGGGTGACAGTGCCCGGTAGGCAGGAAGGGGGATGAAGTGCCCGGTGGGCAGGAAGGGGGTAGGAGTGCCCGGTGGGCAGGATAGGGGGTTAGGAGTGCCCGGTGGGCAGTAAGGGGGTAGAAGTGCCCGGTAGGCTAGTGGTTAAAGTAAAGCTGTGGTCTACTTTTTTTTTTTTTTTTTTCTCTTTTAATTGCCAATAATGAGTGGGGAGATATTTTTTTTCTGCTGTACAGCAATGATTGGGGCATTACTTTCCATACTCCTGACCCTTGCGCTCCTTACGTTATGTTGTGTGTTACATACTTCCAGCCCCTGCATTCTATACACATTATTATATATATACACTATATTCCCCCAAGTATCGGACCGCCGGCCTTCCCACGCACATGACCTTTAATGGCCCCCCAGTCTTCGTCCATAGGGTTCAATATTGAGTTGGCCCCGCCCTTTCCACACACATGACCTTTAATGGCCCCCCAGTCCTAGTCTGTAGGGTTCAATATTGGGTTGGCCCCGCCCTTTGCAGCTATAACAGCTTCAACTCTTCTGGGAAGGCCGTCCACA